CCCCCGCACCTGCACTCCCCACCCGCCCATACTGTTGAGCTCGACACGGATGTAGTTTCGGAAGCCGGGGTTCTCCAGGAAGACACCAGACAGGGCGGTGGTCTTGAAGTAGAAGGAGATGTCAAGGCTGTGGTTGGCCTGGAAGGTGGGGAAGAGCAGGGCTGTGCCCCTGTTGAAGGAGACGGTGTTCCAGGTGTTGCCTGCGGAGAGCAGAAGGGGTAGTGAGGGACAGGCATGGACCCTCCATGGGCATGGGACCCCTGCAGGCATGGGCCCTCTGCAAGGCAGGGGACCCTCCATGGATCCGGTCACTCACGGTCTCCGTAGCACCGCAGGGGGCCCAGCAAGAACTGGGCTTCGGAGCCAGAGCGGTTGGTGTCTCCGACCACAACTTGGGTGACGGGCAGGTGGTCCACGAAGGTCAGCAGACCCTTGTCCGTCCTCCTGCAAACAGCACATGGTTTGGAGGGGCCACGAGGGGCTTCTGCCCCTTCACCAGCCTGCACCCCAGCCTGAACCCCTGCCTGAACCCCCCCAGGAGCCCGTGCCCCCATCCTGCAGCCCCCCCGACTCACCAGAGTGCATGGTCAGCGTCACAGTTGCAGAAGTACTTGGGGTCAACGCAGTTCTTGTCCAACCCGCAGGCGCAGCGCTGGATGCCTGGCCGCGAGCCCCCCCAGTAGTAGTGCCGCTCATCATGCCGGCCCATCCAGAAGCTGAAGGGCAGCCCGGCTGAGGGCACAGAGGAGGGTGAGGACATGGCCCCACGGTATGGCCCCATGGCACAGCCCCACGGCACGGCCCCACTCCCCCCAGCGCTCACAGGGGGTGTTGAGCAGGCGGGAGCTGTAGCAGTGGAACTCGATGCGCTGCTCGCAGTACTCGGAGGCATTTGCCAGCGCTGACACCTCAGCCCAGGAGGCGTTCCAGTACTCTACAGCCCCCAGGTAGGGCTGGTCCACGCTGGAGCCCGTCACCCGTGTGGCGTAGTGCCGGTTGTGCCGGATGATGGTCCATGCCCGGTCCTCTGCAGAGGTGTGGGGGGGGCTGTTAGGACCAGCCCCCTGGGGTGTCCCCATCCCTCCATCCTGCCCTGCCCCCAGTGCACAGGC